CCTAATCTGAAAAATGAGGTATATAATTTCTTTCCTTCCTTGCTTTAAGGAATTATACAGCTCAGATGAGATCATGCATGTCAAAGTGCTTTGAAAAATATGAAGCTCTGTAGCAGTGGTGAGTGAATCTTGTCATCTTATTTCATTTAATGTTCACAACATCCTTTGGGATAAGTGCTAGTAATATTGGCTTTGAGGAATCTGAGGTTTTGGGGTATTAATTTTCCTAAAGCCACACAGCTTTAGGAAATGATGAGGACAGCTCTCAGACTCAGACATGCTGGACTTTAATGTTCTTTGACTTCACATACTTATTTTCCTGGTACTTGAGGTGGTATCACTGTCCTGGACAAAGTCAGCTTTGCTGAATCTGATCAGTTGTCATGCAATTGGTAACATTTTCATGGTTGGGAATCAGCTCTAGTGTGGATGATGAGTTTATCTGTCAGTACAAGAGCAGGGCTTCGGGGAGGTAGGGAAAGGAATGCATTTAAATCCAGCTTTTGAAAATGAATTATATAATGAAATTATTTCATTTTACAAATAAATCATATGATGGCACAGTTAAGCAAACTCTTCTCTAATGGGAATAATCTGTCTCATCAGTTCAGATTTTTGTTTCCTGGGTATCTTTCTCTACAGTAGCATTGATATTTATTCTACTTGACCTTTAGGCTTTAGCTCAAATCTCCCCACCATGAAGCCTTTTCTAGCCATCAAGCCCTTTCTCTTCTCTGAACCCTGTGATTAGTCATTACAGGCAGATATATGACCACACAAAATATTATGATGAAGTTGAGGCTGACTCACTAAACCTTGGTATCAGGCTCATTACATTATTGTCATACGTCATACTTTTAATTAACTTTGCCTTTGTGCACATCTTTCTCCAATTCCATTGTAACTTGCTTTTGAAAAGGATTAGCTTTAATTTTTTTTGTACCTCCTGAAGTTTTGTGTGTTTTTTCCCCATGAGTTTTTCTTGTCTTTTGTCTTCTAGAAGTTTGTTATATTGAGGTAGATCAAGGTACATGAATATGTAATTCAGATACAGTGTGGAATGCAGGAGTGAGATGGTGGGGGTGGTCTCCCAGCAAGGGTGACTTCTGAGGATTAAGGATTTGAGTCCATGGCAGAAATTTGATAAGGGGAGAAGGTCAGAGAGTCAATCCAGGTAGAGACACCAGCCTAAACAGAGGCACAGAAATAAAGAATGTAATGTATTAGGAAAGTAAAAGAATGATGTGAGGACTAAATGGAGAGGCCATGAGAGAGGAAGTCATCATATGATAATGATAATGGCAACTTGAACCAAGGGGCTATGAGAATAGTTTAAAGAAAGAAATGGAATGGTAAGTCTTCAGTGTTAGAGAGATGCCTCCAGTAGCACCAACCTCAGTTGACCTGCCTGTGTACCCTTTCTAGTGTTTGGTCTTGGTCTCTGTGGACAGGAGTTTGAAATACACAGTTGTTTCATTCATTCTGGGGAGGTTCTCATAAGGGCTTATGATCCACTTCATTTTTTCAGCATCATTTTTCTTTTAAAAAAGATGTTGAGGATTAAGTTTCTTCCTGAAACTTCTTTCCTCAGTGGTCTGTCAGCCCTAATTTGGGATCTTGAACAGAGTAAGGGTAGTAAATTTTCATGGGTAGTTGTTCTGAAAAATATCATGAGCATTGGGAATGTGTAGATAGGATCAGTTATGAGTAGAGAGTGCAGGATCTCTATTCCTTCCATTTAATCACTGCACACCACAGGGAGCCAGAGAAAATCTTTTTGCAACTTAATTGTAAAGTACTTGGATGATCTTTCTTTACCTTGCCATCCCTAGTTTCTTATGTTGCTTCTAGACTCTCTGCCATCAGAGTGGCTTCCTTGTTTCCCTCACCAGTGTCCTCGGTGTCTAGAAGCAGTAGAAGCCTTACAGCTTCTGGGATGTTGCAGTGGGAGGCAAAAGGCAAAGGCTCTTCTTCTCTGCCCTGAGGCTGGCAGGGCAACTGATGGTTGGCCTTGAATCTGGGATATACCCTCTCTCCCCACACACAGCCGTGTGAGCCTCTTCCCAAGAAGGACTATGGTTTTATGAAGTAATAAATGATTTTGTTGCTTTCAAGCTGGGAGATTGCTTAGCTCAAAGGATTGTTGTTGGAATGTTGTAATGCTGAGTCCTATATCATTGCTGATCCTTTTTTTTTTTTTCTTGAAAAACTAGTTGCTTGGTAACTGGAGGACAGAAAGACTTGACAGAACGACTTCAGCACAGAGGTCTCCTAGTTTGAATTGGAGTAAGCTATCACATAATGAGATGCAGCGAATGTTGGCAAGTGTGGAGGGTCAACTGTATGTTCTCTCTAACCCAAAGTGTTGTTAGGTACATACAAGTTCAGTGATTAGTTTAAGACTGAAATAGAAATTTCTGGAACTTTTGAGATTGTTTTAAAAAAAATTGTATTTGGAAGGGCTTTTGTTTGTTTGTTTGTTTTCTGCTGTAAAGAATGGCAGTAGCTTTCATTGTAACTTTTCCAGAAGGCCCAGACACAGCTCTGCTAGGGTTAGGAGCTTCAGGGTGGTCATTGTGGCATTGGGGAAAGAAAGACCACCAATATTAGAACAGGTACCTAACATTAGGGCTAAGGCCTTGGGGTCTGACCCGAAGTTTCTACATCCTTGGTAAGAGAGTATTATGTATCACCTGCACACCTCTGAATGGCCCTGAGAATCAAACGAGATGAGGCTGTGGGATCCCTGTTGCAAACTGTGGAGGAAACAAGAGGCCAGTCAAGGCATGATGCAGGCCCAATGGCTACTGGGACAGAATTGACTCAGTGAGGTTGGGGCCTGTGACTGGTATTGCACTGATTGGAAAGGAGGAAGAACAGAGAGATTTTCCCATAGAACCATAATAAAAAATCTCATCTCCAGGGGTCTTGGCCAATCTGGCAGTTGGGACTGGGGTTGCAAAGTCCTTGTGAATCATGCAACTCAATGAAGAACTGCATGGGACACTCACAGACAGCCATTTAGTATCTGGAAGAAAGGGATCAGGCTTCTGGACACTCTCTCTCACCCAAATTCTCCCTGCTTTTCTTTGCTGCCTAATCTCTAGACTTTGTTTTTGTAGAGAAAGCAGGGATTTTTCCTTCAGAGATCATGTGCATTCTTAAAGATACCTTGTACTTCCAACAATGTGTTCTTTCTGTTTCCTCATCCTATTGTAAGGTTTACTCAGGTCTCTGGCTTTGTCAGTGAAGCAGGTGTGGTCTCAGGAGGAAATGATGCTCCTGGATCCCTCACTCCTCCATTTCCAGAATGTCTCCTTTGGGCAAAAGTCCTAAAATTCTCTTAGAGACATTCTGTTTGGGTTTCATTGTTCACAGTGGCTGTCTGCTGGCTATGTTCCAGTGACCCAAAACAAGATCTAGCATAAGCACTTGTACTCTGAATTTGTGAAGATTTTTTTTGTTTGGCTCTGGCTAGAAGCATGCAGGTCAAGTTGTGGTTGTATGTAAAATTGAACAAACAGCACTGGGCACTTTTGTGTTGCTCTGAGGAGGTAACGCACGTGGGTCCCTTCATAAATGTTGCAGCACTGCTCAGAAGAGAGGGATTGGAAGGAGAAACTGAACAGTATGTCTTTCAATTCAGTAAATTGAGTACCTACTGTGTGTTGCCCTCTAGCAGATATTAGAATGTGTCTCATTTCGAACTTCAGGTTTGTTGCCTGTACATTCCCCCAAATGCCCTTGAGTTTATGATAAATTCCTTTCATTAGCCTCTTCTAGAGAGAATAATTGCAAACAGGACATACAAAGTTGCCTGAGTGGTAGGAACCCTTTTCTTGACAGTGCTTCAGTTCCCTTTACCCTGTGTGTGTTTATGTACATATGTGTGTGTGTGTGTGTGTGTGTTTTCTTTGTTTCTACATGCTTGGTAGATAGTGGCCACTTCACAGTTTCCAAGTTTTATCTTACATCCAGACCCCAGTTCCCCAATTCCATTCACAGGCAGGAGTTAAATGGCTCCACTGAATAGGCATTCTAAATTTCTGGGAGAAGAAATCTGATTGGTTCAGCCAGCTCCCATGTCTTTCCATAATCCAATCAGGTTCTCAGAAATTAGAATGAGAACTGTGTGGTTTCCACTCAGCTTGGGGGATAGGGGAAGGAGAGGAGACCATCATCAAATATGGTGAACAAGACTGACAAGTCCTTGATATCACAGAGGTTACAGTCTTGGAGGAAAGAAAGACAATAAACAAATATGCAATGCTATGATAGCCAGACCTAACCTCACTTAGGAAGCCTGGGGGGGTGGGTTAAGCAAAGGAACAGGAGAAAATGGATCCTGGGAAGGAACAAAGTGACAGGTAATTGATGAATTTTCCAGGTGGAGTTGTCAGAGGAAAGAAAAAACCGAGTGGTAAGGAAAAATCGGACTATGTAGCAATGTGGAAAAAACAAACCTTTAAAAATTATTCAACAATGGCTTGATTATGTGGCTGTTCTCTTTGGCTTGGACTGCAAGTTCTATGAGGGCAAAGACATCTTTTTCATTGCCTTTGGAACCTCTTGACTCCTGGAGAATTTTACATTGCCTGGCATGTTCAGATTCACTGTAATGTAATGTCTTGGTGCAGTTTTCTCCCCAGATTTCAGCTGCTCATGTTAAAATATTACATGTTTGAAGCATGCTCTCTCACCCTTCACTAGGAAGATGAATTGCATATTCTCATAGAGTGTTTTTTCTCTCTCCAGGTTGTCAAAGTGGGATAAAGGGAAATTATGCTCATTTTTGGAAGGATCAATAATTGCCATTTTTCTTTCCTATAAAGTACTGTTTTTATGTCACACTGTGCACCCCGAGCCCTCAAACAGATGTTTTAACAGACATCTTGTTGGCTGTATTTTTGTTTTGAAAATTCTGAAACATTACCGAAAGAGGAGAGGGCTAGGGAAAAAAAGAACCCATAATTGATTCTAATATATATTTAATTTGGCAGAACTTGAGAGAGACTTGCTGGGATAAGGCGGGACATTTCTTTGATCTCCCAGACTTCTTATCATGGAAGGCAACAGGTGTCACAGCACGGTATGTTAATTACAAGTTGGATTCTATTTGCACTCTTCCATTCTTGGGTGTCTGTGTATATATATTGCTTTCTTAACTCTCTTTGACTGGACATTCTGTTTGTACATCTGCATGCGATTTTGAATACTTGAAACATCTTGAGTCTATCTTCCACCTCCACTACACATGCCCAGATACTATTCCAATTCCTGCGAGGCCAGAAATGTGAGTATCCAAGGTGAAGACCATTCCTTAAAATGGACACATTTGGAGGAAACATGAAAAATCTGGAGTAAATGGTGCCTTTTGGCCCAAAGGCACCTTTTACATGGCAACTAAAAATTAGGGCAGGAGTTGTTTTTCAAGGAAGTTGATTTTAAGTTGATGAATGTGATATGAATTTATTTTGGTTTTGTATAAATGTGCTGGAATCTGTATAAATACCACTGTATTTATACCACTGTAGAGGTATGTGTGTTGGAATCAGCCACTATTTTTCAGTAAGTTATGAATGTTAAAAATAAAGTATGTGCTACATGCAGGAGACTTTTACAGAATACTTATTGCATATGAAATTGTGGCTGATATAATTAAGAGTGGGAATGTGCCTGGATATGTGCAGAAGATGGACAGGAAATCTCTTCATATATGGCCAGTTTGTTAACCATCTTAACCTCAGTTAGGGGGCTGCATAAGGGTGAGAGATTTTCTCAAATTGAGAAGGATTTTGAATCTGGATTGAACAAATCTGTGAGTCAGAGGATCCATTCCCAGAGGAAGAGATAAACCTGTATAAAGTAGAGAGCAGGTGTTGTATCTTAAATTCTGTGCCTTCAGAGCAGCATGTCCTCCCCATTTTTTATTATATAAACTCAGGAGAAGCCGGGAACAGCAGTACCATTCCCCCTGTGCTCCTCCTGTCTATCCCATGGTACAGGGTTTGGCTTTTTCTTGTGGTGAGTTGATAAGAGTGTGATAGATCAGCAGCCCTACTTCCAGAAGGAGATAGTGGTGAAGGCCTTTGATGAGCACATCATTCTTCATGTGGCGCCCACCAGCACCTCCCTTCAGCAGAGCAATCATCTGCCAAAGGTCTTAGAGAGGAGAGCATCCATATGCACATGAAGACAGCCTCAGCCAACCTCAGGTACTCACCCCTGTAGTGGTCTGAACTTTGCCCTGGAGGGTGTAATTAGTCACCATTATAGTTTTCACCACTGGGGAGGAGGCATGGGTGAAGACCTCATCTTGGGCATTCCTCTTGTGTGACATTGTCTAAGTTATTAAAATAATTTTTGGAGGCTTTTTTTCTACTTTTGTGCATCAGTGAAGGAAATGTTCTGATTTTAGCAAAATAGACCTGTTAGTTAAAATATGCTAGTAGTTGTGTGTTTGTAGGTCATTGGCTTCAAGGTTTATAGGACTCAAAAATAAAACCAGAGATGGAGAAAGACCTGGTTTTCCTTTTCTTTGGGTCTTGTTTAATCCAGCACTTTTATTTCCCCTTGGTTCTTTCTGATGGCTCCGGATACTGTAAACAACTGTTTCCTCGTGTCTGATGCCATATTCAGACCTCAAGGAGGGGGCTTTTTGAAGCTAGTCCCAGCTCACATAGATTTAAATCAAATAATAAGTATGGAGGTCATATGGTGACTTGTATCCTTAATAGCTGTGTGCTCTTGGGCATGTGTCTTTGTTGAGTCTCACACTACTTATCTGCAAAATGGAGATCATGGTACCTACCTAAAGGCTGGTTGGGACAATCCTGTTCAAGCAATTTTCCAAACTAGCTTGATTCTAAGAATCACTTGAATAATTTTTTCAACACAGATTCCTAGGAGTTGCAGTTTTCTGCTTCCTGAAATCTCTATGGGACACACCTGGGAACTTGTATGTTTAACAAGTGCCCAGGTGGCTATATGGTCAGGTATATTTGGACAACAATAAATAGAATATACTTGAAAGTCTTATGATTCTGAGATGGTCTATACTTGTGAGAGACTGGCAGTGTTTTAAAGGCCTAATATAGTGAATTTAAAATTGAAGGGCTTCTTGTTGACATCAGAACATACTTGTGATCTTCCATCTCTGTCTGTGACACTCTCAGATCTTAAGGAAGCAAAAAAGTTTAATGCTCAGAAATGATTTATTGGCCATTCAGTCATCCATGCCATTTTTTTTTTCTATTGGCTACATTGCTCATGACTCATTCTGTTTTCATTAGTACAAATTAACAATCCCCACTCCCCCCACCCTGCCCCATACTTGTGGGCAAGTTCAGACCTCCCTTTCAGTCCTTCTCTGCAGAGCAGAGCCTGCAGACTTTGGGCACCCAGCACTCAATTCCTTCTGCATAGGTGGCTGCCTTCTTCCCTGGCCCTCTTACATCTTAAGTTTGTCTTCTGTCTTTTCTTTGTTTACTCCAATGTCTCAATTCATTTTGCCTTCTTCATTTCATCCTGCATGATCCAGGTGAAAGGAGGAACTTCTCTGAGCTTGATTGCAAATGTAGATAATAATAGTGAGTTCATGAGGTTATTGTATGGATTGAAATAATAGAAAAACTTCAAACATGGTATTGAGAAAAGTGTTTAAGGAATTAGCTCCTTTTTTACTTCCCTTTCTCTATCACATTTGGCAGGGAGTATTTACATTAAGTTGCTGGCATAAAGGAAAGAAAAATCCTTGTGGTCCGACTGACCTGGATTCAGTCTCTCCATGTAGTATCTGCAAGAACCTAGAGCAAATAGTCTTCCTCCCTCAGCATCGTTTCCTTTTCTGTAAGCACTCTCAGGATTACTAAGAGGTAGATATAATAGAGATGAAATATGTAACACAAAGTATTTAAACAATAAAGGTTTAATTTTTAAATTAAAAAAAATTCCCCACTGTCTGTTCTGTCCCCTAAAATAAGGATGACCAGGGTCAGAAATAGAATGTCTCAATGCCAAAATAACTTTGGGCAGTAGAGCAGGAACTTGGCATCCTCTGGGCAAGGAGAAGTAGAGGTTCAGATTTGGTGTTTATTTGGCTCTTACATGTGATTGTTTTGGGTGGATTTGGTGAAATGAGTGCCAAAAAGGCTAGAAGGTGTTTTTCTTTTTCTTTTTATTATTCTAGTAGAGTCTGGACTCAGGAGTGATTGGATTTCATCTTGTCTTAAAGCTTTCAAACTTGTTTTTGGTAGTGACCATATGTAAGAAATTTTTCTCTTCCTCCTCTCCTCCTTCTCTCTTTTCCTTGAAAACATTTTCCCTCTCCTCTCTAGTTGTTCTCATCCCCTGAAATACAGCATTTACTTGTGTTTATCTGGGTCACTGAGGAAATCAGCACCAGGCTGAGGACTGATTTGTAATTCTGTTCCATTCTTTTCATCATATTAATGAAAATAATTACTGCTATTTTTGTTAATAGTAATAATGGTCACTGTCATTTATCCAGTGCCTTTCTTTTATCTGTGCTAGGCGTACTGACGAATGTTAGCTCTGTTAGTCTTCAGCAACCATCCGTGAAAGCAGGTGGTGTTATTTCCATCTTGCAATTCAAGAACTAAAGCTGAACACTGTAGTAATTTGCCATGTTCTAGCCATTGAGTGGGTGACTGTCCAGAACATGAGAGATGGTTAGTCAGAGATTCGAAAGATAAAATTTTGTATAACTAGACTAAAATATGTTCATACATATAAATACTCCCTCTAAAGAGATTTGCAGTGACTGGTAATAAATAAGCTAAAAACAGGGCCAGGTTTGGTTCAGTGATAGAGGTATGCTTAGAATACAGGAGGCCCTGAGTTCAGTCTGCAGCCCAAGTGTGTATGTGCGTGTACTTGCTCTTTCTCTTTCACACACACACACACACACACACACAGAGAACAACAACAAAACAAAACAAAACAGTGATTAAAATGTAAAAGAATCAGAAGTCAGTGAAAATATTCATAGAATGACTGAGTTTATTCTAAGAATTTCACAGAATCTATGAGGTTCTTTAAACTTACTAATAGGTTGTTTTCAGGCTTCTTTTGACCAGAACAAAGTCGGACATGACCTGGTGAAGAACTGAGTCCATCAAAACCCAACTGCTCTTTGGGAGCCTAAGTTTGTTTTGAACACAGGGGTCTGAGAAAAAGTTTTTCTTCATTTTCAAGGGGTAAAAATATTTTGTAACTTATTTAAAAGTATGTTCTAATAATAATAATAATAAGTATGTTCCAATTATAATTTCAGATAAACTATTGATTTTAAAATAGTTTACATTTTCAGGAAATTTTCTAGTTGTAAATTGTCAGGAATGATGGTCCTGAAAGCTTGCCCATGCCTTACACAGAGTTCCCTTTGTTATTAACATCATTCGTTACATGTGTGGTGCATTGGTCACAAGTAATGAATGAATATTGGTGTGTTATCATTAACTAAACTCCATACTTTATTTACATTTCCTTAATTCTTGCCTAATGGGCTTCATCTGTTCTAGGTCCCACCCAGGGTAGCACATTACATTTAGCCGTGTCTCCTCAGGCACCTCTTGGCCTCGGTGGTTGCCCAGGCTTTCCTTGTTTTTGATGATTTTAACAGTTTTGAATAGTGTTGGTCAGGTATATGGTGGGCCATCCCTCTGCTGGAAGTTGCTGATATTTCTCTCACAGTGAGACCTGGATAGTGTGTTTTGGGGAGCAAGTTCACATGGTTCTTTCACATCACTCTTGGAATCACATTAACCTGATTCTCTGGCTGAGATCCTCTTTGTCACATTTCTACAGCTTAAAGTGTTCATTCCAACCCCTGATGCCCACTCCTTGTATACTGTACTCTCTGGAAAGAAGTCACTGTGTATAACTCTCCAAACCTAAAGGGAGTGGGGAGTTATGTGTGCTTCATCTCTTTGAAGGTGGAAGAGCTACATATATTATTTTGAATTATTTTTGTATAGGAGACTTGTTATTTTTTCAGTTCACTTACTTTTATGGCTTTGGGATGAAGGAAATTGATGACCAGGCTTCTTAGGCCCAAGAGACATTCTG